TCTCAAGTCTATATTTCTCAATATATAAAGTCAATGAGTAATCATTGAACCTATCATCACTCATTTATTCCACAACGTACTCCTATTTAACTTCTTTGCATTAAGAACTCTTTTGAAAGTTACCTTAGACACATATAAAATCAGTACCATCTTCAAAACAAAATATGGAAAAAATAGTTTTCGGTTTAATTGCACATAGATACTATGTAATTTTACCTACTTTCCACATGTATTTGATTGCACTTAATACTTAACGTACCCAAAAGTTGCGATTTAATACTCTCGTTTATGCAAACGCGAGAGTTTCTCCCTAGAAGTTCTCTTGAGACACTCAAACACTAATTTTAAAACATTTTAAATCTTAATCTTAGTAAAATTTATTGTTATTTTAGAATAGAACTAGTGTAGTTTTAAAATAGAACTTTGATAGGTTTAATAATAGATTTAATAAAAAAATAAGCGTTAAAAAATGTTCTAAAGTTAGAGCATGAGTGTCACATGAGAATTTTCAAGAAAAATTCTGCTGTTTGCTTAACTATGGGCACTAAAGTGCAATTTTTAAAAACTTTAGAGCATTTAAGTGTGACCAAATACAAATGAGAGTCCATATGTGCAAAATAGGTGAAATTATAAGGTGTTAAGTGCAACGAAGCCAATTCTATACAGGGTGGGGGTCTTATTATTCTCTGACCAAAGTGGGGTCACGTGACACCACTTTGGTATATGTAGATATCAGCCATTGATATGTTGTGAGTTCTGCTTGGAGCGGCTCAAGGCCTGCTACATGCTGGTGGTTAATTTACGATCTCAGATTTCTAGATTTTGTTTAGAATAACGGAAGAAGTTCTTCCCTAGCTTATGCGTCTCTAGTTTCTGATGATGTTCTAGCTAGTTATTATTCTCGATCCCCCAGTTTGTGGAGGGTCCTCATTTAAAGGGGTAAAAAGCTCCAGTAAACTGATCATTTGGACTTTGAGATGCACGACAAGTTCCCCTGCTGATTTTGACACTTGACCACACAAACCCGTCTTCTTCATGGTGCACCTAAAAGTGGGATGTAAGCTACTCGTGCTTCTATTCATGGCTAACACTATGATGGTTTGCAAGGAAAAAGAGAGAAGGAACCTTTATTGATAGCCACAATTTAGTGGAAGCGAGTGAAAGGCCCACAGGTCAAAAGTAGGTCCTTATGAAGAGCTAATAAAAGTTGGATTGACGCAATTATTGGACCATGACGAAGTCTTTTCAATATATATATATATTATATATATATATGAGAAAAATGAGTTATACTTGCGCTACCAAGGATTCCTTGGTAACGTTGCATGTGGACACAATCTTGTCATTACATCACACCTTGAGATTGCCGAGCCCTCACCAATTCCAAGGTGTTAGCATGTATGGACAGCATGTGCTCCACATCACTACCAAGTATTCCTTGGCCCAAGTTATACCCTATATTCCTCCTATATATATATATATTATATATTTAATATATTATATATATATATATATATTATATATATAATAGAGAGAGAAGAAAGAAAATACGAGTGTGTATACTTGGTATTAAGCCATAAATTTGTGTTGTTTAGTAGTCGATGTATCACATCCTCCTATCAAACTCACTACCCATTGTGAATGTGGTCCCATATTTGCAATGAGTTGAGGGCGGATGTAACACAATCACTACAAGCATTAAGATTTTTATGCTTTGCTACCAAACATACTCATATTGCCTCATATAAATATATTATATTATATATATATATATATATATATATATATATATATATATATATATAAGAAAATATGGCGTATTGCCTTCTTTGCGTTACAAAGCACAAAAAGTTCCTTGCTTGATAGTGAGGTGACATAATCCTGTCAGTCATTTCGTTCACTCATTCAATATGATTGATATCCTCATGTACTCTCCAACCCATGCTGATGTTGGCTCCCCGTCCTATTTCAATGAGTGGCAGGGCGCATTGTTACCACGTCACTATAATAAACCATAAAAATTTATACTGGTATCAAGCATACCAATATATTCTCTCTCTTTCTATATATATATATATATATATATATTATATATATATATATATAATTAAAAATGTTACATGCAGAAAACTAGCTCCTTATTTTCTAAAATGAAGCCTTACTATTTCTCGTTCTACTTATTTTATCACCAGATGGAATCCCACCGGGATCTCCTTCTTCGCGCTTATCATCCTGTCTCGTGCGCATGCGCGAGGGAGTGGGACCCACGTCTCAGTTTTGGCGGGAACTGCGTGTAAAAGGTCGGCGTGACACCGCGACGTGCGACCGACTAACGGGCGGTAGCTTAACCGGGGGAGGTGACCGTACCGCAACAAGATCCCTTCTGAATCTCGGTGCCTTCTTCTGTCCTCCCCCTGACCCCGAATTCATCGCGTCCAGACCACGGACAACGCGGCAGTCTGAGACAAACAGCGAATCACCAAGTGGCATCCTCGTAAATAAATCAACATGAAAAGGGCAAATACATCGCATTAGATTCCAAAAATATAATCCTTGTGTGGCCTCCCCCTCCCCCTCCTCTCTCCTCCACCCAGAACCTCCCAGCAAAACTTTAACCGCTCCAGGTTGTGCTTCATTCTTTTTTATATTATTTATTTATTTTGCCAACTATTTTAGTCCTTCAAATTCCGTTGTCTAATTGTCAACTTCAATTAAAATTTCAGATCTTTGATTCTCTGAAGATTGAAACGGATGCAGAGAGGAATTCAGGTGAGCTTCGGTTTTTCTCCAATCAGCTGGATCTTGTTGTAGTTGAGTGTGATTTGATCGGAACAGCTCTGTACTTCAAAATTTTTTTTTTTTGTGATTTTGAATCCGTGTTCTTTTTTCATGTTTTTAATTGCTTTGTGTGTGTGTGTTTCTACTTACTATTCTTGTTTGAACTTTGGTCCTAATTTCTGATTTTGATCATATCCTCCATATCATTTTTCGAATTGAAAATGGAAATTTGAATGTTAAAGGATTCAGTTACAGGTTACGGAAAATTAGATCTAATTCTAAACAGGAAACCTGAAGAGAGATTTAAGTTTTTTGAACATAGTTAGTTGAGGTTGTATAAGTCAACTCAATGATAACTCGTTAAAAGTTTCTTTGATTGTAAACTTTAGTTGTTTATGATGTATCGGTATTATCCTTTTGAAAAAAAGTTGCTTTACCCCCCTTCTTTATTTTTTTCCCCCTTCCAAAAATGGTTATAAATGGAGGATAAAAGGCTCTATGATCTTTAGTTTGTTGATTTTACAAGCAAAGACAATTTTCTGAAATATGGGGTGATCATGCCTTAACTCATGCCTTAACTCATGCCTTTCAGATTCTTGTTATTTTATTAGATTCCTATATAGGATAATTCCACCTTCTTTGCCTTTTTTTATATAGAATCATGTCAAAAATATTTGATGAGTTCTTGGAGCAGTCCAATTCAGTCTTGCCGTAATGTGTTGTTATTCTATTCTTCCAGGATTAGCTGAATGAAAATTGTGCAAAAGCGAGCAGCCAAATTTTTTTCTTAATTGAAATCCAACTATTCAGTTCAAGTTCAGTAATGCACAGATCAGACTGATTCTAATAACACAGTGAAGATTCGACAACTGCAATAGAGAAATATTACTATAAAAAAATGTATAGACTTGGTCAATTGTAAGTTGCTAATGCTTGAGAATAGTTCTCATTGACAAGTAGGGTAATTGCTTAGAATTTTCTTTACCCTGCGCCGAACTCATTGGGAATCAGTCAACCTGCAAATGTCTTGAATTGATGAGCATTCTGTTGGTAACAAAATGTGATAAGGAAATAAATGACACTTAAGGGATTTTCAGATTTTGAGGTGGAAGGACAAAAGGCAGAAAAAATATTGTTTAGATGAACCCTTGACATCATATATTTGCAAAGTATAATAACTTAATAATGATGTTTCGATATTGTAATCTGCAAAACAATTATCTGAGCAAAATATCCTTTAGCAGATGCTGTTTATGTACCTTTACTTTTATTGCTTGCATGATCCTGATCTTGCGCATGTTGTTGATGCTCACGGTGTATTGTGCAGAAACTTTCATTTAGATGAAGGTTTAAAAGAAGCTTCGTCGAATATAGTTCGTTGAGATGAAGAAAAAACACAGATTAGATAAACTCTTGCATTCAGTCTTTGGCAACCACAGTGATGACGAGAATTCTGAAGCTCTGCCAAATAGGGAAGGTAATGGTCTTTCCTAAAGTTTCCCTTTTTGTGTTCAAAACTTATTCGACAGAATACTTTTGGCTAGGAGTCGATGCATGCAATTCCTTGACTTGATGCTTCCATAATATGCTGTTTACACTTAGTCACATACCTGTAACATGGTCTAGTTACAAGGTTTAGTGCTTCACCAGATCAGGTTTCTATTGTTACTCCAAGTGTTCGTGTTGAAAAGTACGCATATGTATATTAGCATAATACAAAGATTATATTTAAATTTTTTGGAAGCATAAATGACTGTCGAATTTAATTTATTATTCTCGGTTTATTAAGAATGGGACACTTGATATATCTCTCTGCGCTTAACATAAGCATGATGTGACAAAATCCACTTTAAGGTATCATTCTTATTTAAGACTTGTCAAAACTCACTCTACTTTAAAGGTTAAGCTGTTTTGTACTTTCACTTGGAAATAATGGGGGTCAGTAAATATATCAAGGACCACTTCATCCAAAAGTTTAAACTGTTGAGTTGCAAACTAGCAATATATATCAAGCTAATTTAATTATTGACAGAGCTTATGGCACATAAGGGCTATTGTATCTGTTTCTAAATTAATGCCACTTACTATTTTTTCCCCAGTCAGCTTATCTCAGTAGGATCTCTGTAAGACCTCAAGGACAGGTTAGACAACAAAGCAACTAGAGTCATACTACATTGCTTATGCTTCTTTTTTTTGTGAAATGATTACTAGAAGTTGATATTGCTTTTGAGTTCACTGTAGATATCATGTAGCATCAAATCAATGAATATTCTTATTTTAGTGCATAACTTTCTTTTGCATCTTTTTACTGCAGAAATTGATAAGAATGTGGAGAAAATACTAAAGATGCTACAGACTCAAGAGAGTGGTTCAATTTCATCTGAGAGTTCATTCGACAAGTTTGAACTAGCTTCTCTTATTGATGGTTTTCACAAAAGGTACCAAGTTGTCCAGTGCCGCTATGATCAATTGATCGGGAAACTAAAGAAAGAAATTCGTTCAGAAAGCAATGACAATGGAAGCTTTTCAGTTGACTTCACCTCATCTGATTCAGAAGATTCAGATTCAGGATCAGAGGAGCTTTCTGATAAAGGGAAGCTTGAGAATATGAAGATGAAAAATGTTGAGCTTGAGACTATGATTATTGAGATGAGTGCAAAGCTTAAAGCGGAAAACACTTCAGCAGCTGAATTAACTGAACATGCTAAGCTCTTGCGAGCTGAAATGGATCTTCTGAGAACTGAATTAGAGGCTTCACGGAAGAAGGAAGAAGATATGAATCAAAAGGCACAAAATTTATACGAGGAAAATGACTCTCTGAGATCAGAAAATGCTGAAGCTTTTTGCAAGATTCATGAGGCAAACAAATCATTAAAAGAGTTTCAATTTGAACTCAATCACATAAAATATGAAATGGATAGAGTTAAGTCTGAAAATAATACCTTGAAGGAGGATTTGGAAAGAACATCGAATGAAGTTGCTAGTTTAAACCAGCAACTGATATCTACAAATGAAGAAAAAGAAGCTTTGAGATCGGGGAACTTTGAATTTTTGAGGAGGATAGAGGAGGCAGAGAAAGCTTTAGCAGCTCTCAGAGACGACGCTGACCAGAAGCTTAAATTAGTTGAAGAGTTGACATCACAGAATACTCATTTGACTTCTGAGAATGAGGAACTGAAGCATAGGCTGGATTCAGATCTTACAGACAAAATACAGCCGGCTGAAAAGGCAATTGATGATCTTAAAGCTGGGGGAGAACAGCAAGGAAATGATACATCTCAGCTGCAAGAAAAAAGCAATGATCTGACTCTTGAATTGGAAGTAATCAATTTCCAGCTGCATGATTTAAACAGAGAACTTAGTGCTGCAAAGGAGGAAAAGAATGCATGGTCTTTGGAAGTTTCTGAGATTCTAACCAAGTTAAAGCAATCAGAGAGTAAACGGGAAGAGCTTGAAAATGAGAGAGCACACTTGAGAGAGAAAATTTCCACATTGCATCAGTATCAGAGTAAGGTTCAGGAGGCTGAGAAGATCATAGATGATCTCAAGGGCAAAGTGGAGCAGCTTACAGCTGATAATTCTCAATTGAAGACTAATGTTGGTGATCTGAGTGTTGAGCTTGAAGCATCCAAGCTCCAGTTGATTGATACAAATAAAACTGAAATGCGAAACTTAGAAGTAAGCAGCCTACAGCAAGCAGAAACAGAAGTGAGAAACTTAGAAAATGATGAGATACTAATGGCTGAGGTGAATTCTATGCTACATAGAAGCTTGCATGAGGCTGAGCTTAATGATTTAAGCCTTGAAATGGAAGCAGTCACTCCCCAGTTAATTGATCTAAACAAAGTAACTGAAGCCTCAGAGGAAGAAAATACTTCGTTGACCTCAGAAATTGAAACACTGAAGGTTGAATTAGGAAAGCTGCAAGAAGCGAATGCCATTCTTGAGCAAAAGCAAAAGGAGCTTCGGCATCAGAAAATTCATCTGGAAGAAAAACTAGGGGAGAAGGAGAAAGAGAGAAGCGATCTCCAAGAAAGTTACAAGGATGTCTTAAAGAAACTTGAACTCACCATAAAAGAGAAGGCAGATAAAGAGAGAGAAAACACAAAACTGTACAAAAGAGCCGAGAATTTCGAAGTTCAGCTCCGCTTGTCTAACCAAATGATTAAGATCACAGAAACAGAATGCAATGAGAAAATAGAAGAGTATAAACAAGCAATGGAAGAAATGGTAGAAGATCGCAAAGAAATGGAAGATCATATGCTGAAAATATGTATAAAGATGAATCACTTGGAAAACGAGCTCAGGCACTTCAAAGGATTTGCAGAGTATGGGATTCCAGATTTAATCAGACGATACAATGAGCTCGATTCTGCTTTCGTAATTAACAGCAGTGACACCTTAAAGAAGATACATATGTTTAGTGAAGAGATAAAGGTAATGAAGAAGTGGGTCATAGAGATGAAGAATGAGAAACAAGAGCTTTTAGTTAGGGTGAAGTACCAAGAAGGGATTATCACTATAATGAAAGATGAAATGGAGAGCATTGTCGATAAGTTAGTTAATAAGGAGAAAGAGGTATCTATCCTCAGAGCACATGTAATTGAGTCTGAGGAGAGGATGAAAGTGTTAGAGGAGATGCTGAGGGATAGGAAAAAGGAGGAATTAGATAAAGATGAAGCAAAAAGAGAGGCTATAAGGCAATTGTGTCTGCTGATTGATTATCACCGTGAAAACAACGATCATCTCTGCAAATACCTCTCATCGGTGCTCAAAAGTAAAAGGCGGTGAGCTTCATTTTTGTTACTCATCTCTTACTTCAACTTCGTTCCATGTTTGTATTCGACGTGTACAGAAGGACGGAGAGACTCGTCTCTATTAGATAAGCCTGGAAGCTGTGAGCTCCAATAAGCTTCTGTATCTGAGTTTGTTTATAACTGTAATTTGCTAATAATTAGATTGTGGGTATTATAGAAAGTATAGCAATTTGTTGAGTCAAAGGTTACACTGGGAAGTTTCATTTTCATCAGTATCTGAGGATGGGCAGCTTGTTGCATTGTATATTAACAGAACAAAAATATATATCAGGTGATGGTTCCAGACATAGGAGGAAATTTTAGTGCCTCCTGGTTATGTATTTTGTATGCCTTGAAATGATGCAGAACAATGTTTTTCTTTGTTTAGGTGGTGTTGTGTATTCAGCTTGTCGTTTTCTACTTCTTCTTGATCTATGTACTAGGTTTATATATCCATTTTTTTTATCAGGCTGCGAAATCAGTCGATTGCAAAGGTCTTATATATAAATATTGTAGGACCGCAGTGCAAGTTGATAAATAAAGGAGCATAATTTACTATCTGAGCTATTCTTAGGGTGTATTTGGCAGTATCAAAATAAAACCAGGCTGGAGTGATTTATTTTTTCAGTAGCCATAGTTGGTCCGTGTAAAGATTGGTCCCAAAAAAAAAAAAAAGTCTAAGGGCCAAAATTTGAAGTACCAGTTCAACTTTGGCGAGTATTTGCCAAACCAAACAGCAAAGTTTTGGATTGAGGTCGTACCAACTGAACCATGTTTTGCGTAGTTGCGAAAACACATCCAGAACATGAATCAGAGCTTAACCAGCAGCATGACTCTTGATTTTCCAAACCTTTATTTACTGTCGTCTTAATCTTGAGGTAATTAGCAAATTTAATGCCAGATTACATTACTACGAGTTTATTAGATTTCACAGGTTTACTGAACCCAGTTGTAACATGTGGAGGTTCTTTTGGCTGATTAGCACAAATCTATCTAAACGTTTCCTGTGTTTTGCCCATATTTCCCAGCATTTTAGTGCCCAAAGCAAAACAGAAAACTACTTTGAAAACGGGAAATGTTGGTTGTTACTTGCCCACGATAAAATGAGCATGCAAACTGAGTTTTTTTTTTAATTTAATTTATCTAAGAAAAGAGTATGCAAACCAAGTGTAAGGGTAAAACATAGAAACTGAGATCAGTATCACACAGAAAACAGAGGAAAACACAAGCACACACAATTTCACGTAGTTCGGAGGAAAAGTCCTTTTGTCCATTCACATTGACAGCAACAAATGATCACACTAATTCAAAAAAGAGACGCAACAGAAAAGATTTCGCAAAACCCTTTCTCATACATGACAGACCTCATCACCACAGATCAACCCCCAGGCTTGGTGGAAATAAACCCTATATCACTGGGATCGTTTCGTTTCTCAATACCAAATCCCAAAAATACCCTTCAACAAGTTCGAGTACAGTTAATAAACAAGTCTGAATTAATACGTAGAACTTGCTCTGAACCACGTATGACTTGCTTATATAGCTAGGTCAAACTCGCAGTCGTGCAATAAAGTAATATCACCCTTCCTGATGAGGCTCACATCTTATCCTTCTATTAGACGAGTAATTAAACTCAAAACCATTATATGATTTTATCATTAAAACACTCACAAGCGAAAATATGTATTTAGTTCCAAGTAACAGCTAATCAAAGCAAAATGTTAATGAGAGATTTCAGTCGGTCTCTGCAATCTACAAAAGATCAATAGCGCTAATACCATCCCCCTAAAACTAGTATGCATCCCGAAAATTTGTTACTTGTGAAAATTTGTTTAGTCTTTGAAACCTGGAGAACACTAAAAGCAAATAATATTAATTTAGATTATCATAACATGTATATTTTTATAATTAGCTGTAAACTTTTCAAAAATTCTGTGCGTTTTAGGGAAATTCACTATGCTAATTGGCCAAACCACACGATTCGAAATATGTATAATGAAAGATCAACAGCTGAACAAGGAAGCAAACCAGCGATATATGAGATTTAACAAAATTCATCCCAAACGTGGGCTACATCCTCGGCTGAGCAGAATCCTCAGTAACTCACTAGATCTTCACCGAGTCTCTACAATCTCGACCTTTCTCTCTTAAGAAATCCTGGAAGATTTATTTCAAAATTTTCTACAGGCAGCTTTTATGTTTTAAGTTTTCTCATCTCTACAGGAAAAAGTAACCTGAATTCATATTCACCATAGCAAGAGTAAGATCGAAGATGGGGCTTTAAGTTCCTTCACACTACAAACATCTAGAACTGGTGACTGAAGGGATCTCCACATAATAACACGGTATCGTGTAAAATCACATGATCGTCAAACTCAAAGTAGGAGAGAATTCATCAAACAAATTGCAAAGTTCAAATTTGAGAGCTGTCACAAAATATACATCTATTGATCAAACGAATTGCTAAGCTCAAATTTCAGGGCTGTCACAAAATGTACATTTTTAGATCATGAAATGTCTATACTAAAATTTTGTGATTTCTGATCCTCATGAATTCTTGGAATACGTTGATTGTAAGGAATAGTTTCACCCATAGATATTAGCTCCCCCAAATCAAACCAGTAAGTTGAGATAGACCCCTCTATTCAGTTGAGGTTACAAATAAGAAATAATACGTTTTTACGCTGAATCGACTGTTATGTCCCTCTCCTTATTCTCCTAGACTCATTATCCTCTTCCCCAATAATGGTCCCCTCCTCTCCATCAATTGCTCTTTTTTTCTTTTAAACTCTATAAAAGCCCATGAAGATCCTCCATGCTCATCCATTCTTCATTTTTCAAAGTCTATCCTATATCGTCTTCAGGTCTACAATGGAGCTTACAATTTTGTGAGTTGTAATGCAAGATTAGAACAAGCAAGCAATGGGAGAACAAAAGACTCCAGTTCCACGGCTGCCCGCAATATAGGAATTCATTATTCGAGGGTTGCAAGTATTTTGCTTGGATTGATGACAACAAAAGTCTAATGTGGAATTGTCTAAAGAAATCAAATTTGCTGGGGGAAGAAGTAATATGAGGTGCTGTTCTTGACGAAGATCCTTTTGGTTGTATTAGGAGTTTTGAATTTAAGTAAAATGTTAGTTGATCGTCAAAATTTGTAGCTTGTAAGCATTGGACGTATTTGACTCCCTTGGCCAAAACTGTAATTGCACAACACTAATTGCCCTCAACCCAACCCTAGTTAGAGTATTTGAATGGCTATACTAACAAAGGGATCTATTTGAACTGGCTTATACGATTTGGGAGAGGTAACAGCTGTTATGATGATTTGAGTGAGAGATATCTAAAATTCTAAGTTAAACCACGATATCATTACACTGGAAGTACAAAGATAAATCTTTGCAAGGCAATTCATCAAACACATTGTGAGCGTGTAACTCTAAACAAAGAAATACATTCGCTGAAGATTACAAGAAAAAGACTTGAAAAATATTTAAAAAAAAACGAAGTTCCAAGTACAAATATACCTCTCTGACGCAGAGGTGAAGTCTGCAGGCACTTTAATTGGGAGTTTTCTAATTCCTTCCATTTTCCTCTTCCAACCGGATTAGATACCTATACTCACCCCAAATCTTAGACAGTTTACAGAAACTGTTATTGTAGGCTGTCTAAAAATCACAATGGATAGCTAATCCCTATCAAGCCCTGATAATGGAAGTTACTTACAATCATGACGACTTTCTAATTCACTGCTACCGACACAACTCGTGCAAATCTATACAAGGCCTCATCTCTGAGAATGATTTATCTGTATTGTGCGACACAGATGTACATTTATATTAGCAAATATTAGAGATTGCTGATACAGTGTTAATGATTTCAGAAAAAAGTTTGGGCTTAGTTCGTGAGTCGCTTTAGGATAAGACAGCTGGGCCAAATATCATCTTCAAAACACTATGGATGTTGATTCCCGTCAGCATCATAACGAGCTACAATCAAATAGCTTTCGGAGTCGACAGTCGAAAAGGGGCAAATAGCGAGACTAATCACACATACCGATATATTACATTTGACGACACTCGACAGTGATTAAAACCTATTCAGTGCTCTCACGATTCCGTGGTGAGAGATACCATTGACGACCTCATATTTAATACAGGCAAAGACAAGAAAACATGAGCCTTTGACAATTGTCATGCATCGAATTTACTAAATGACAACAACTCTATCCAAAGTAGAATTTTAATTCTTCGTTCTCTCTAAATTCAAACAACAATTGTGCGGTTCTCCAATCGATATGTCTAACTTGCAACGCAAGTTTCAGTCACCAAACGCGCCACACATAACGTGCGTTCTCATAGATTCAACTACGGTGTCCCAACTCTGAGCAGAGTTGGTAGCTTCAACGCATCCCGCTGTCTGTCGTAATCTCTAACAGAGATTTACTTTCATCTCAAGCTTTGGACTCAGAATTAGCCAATAAACGCCAAACTGAGCGTTTTGACTTGTTCAAACGGCAAGTGTCGAACGGCCTCAAACCTTATCCTTTCTGAAGGGATTCATCGCCCATCAAAAGAGCGAAATTAGGAGTTTGTTAACTCACAGTCCAACCATAAAATAACAACCTTCTTCAAATTGAATGTAAGGCCTACTCTGTGGCCGGCTGCATTAGATTGTATCAATCGTTTTCTGAGTCAAAAACGCAAAGAGTTGAGGGGGAGCTGTATCAAAACAACCAAGCGTCAACAAATCTTTTCATGCATTGCAGATTCTGCAAGGAAGAGTAATCTTCGGGAGATAGACTAGCAACGTTCAAGTTAATCTCATAATCCGAGTATCCCTTTAATCAAAGGTATATTCACTTGCAGTAATTACGATTTATCGGTTCAAACTCTGTTAAGTAGTTTTAAACTATCTATTCTTGTAATCGTTCAAGAGTTCTTATTAGATTGCACGACCAACGTTAATCAACAATCAACCAGACATTCGTTTCAAACAACTCTTATCGATTCTTTAATCTGTTTCAGAGTTTTTAACACTCTTTAGTAGTTCTTAACCGAATTCATTCAAGCACTCAATTGTTCCAGTCAGAAGCTAGTTCGGTATCGTCAACGAGAGAAATTCGACTGCCGTCGATAGAGGAACGCTCCTACCGTACCAAGAAGAATCCAGTTTTAAAAAAGGGAGAATCAAATTCAATTCTCCTCTTTAAATCGGAATGCCAATTTGTCAACGATTTTATTAGACTACAAATCAAAATTCCTTGTTTTTTACATCATATTCCAAGCAAACAAAAGATGCCGACTTCCTGGGACAGCTTCTTCTGAGAGGAAAGTGGTGTCGCCAATCCAGGTTTCACTCCGTATACATATACCTACGGTCGAAAA